AGAAAATAAAACAAGGGGGAGAAATGAATTACAGTAGATGGGGTAGAGAGAGATGGGAGGGGAGGGGAGGGGAGGGGGGATAGTAGAGGATAGGAAAGGCAGCAGAATACAACAGACACTAGTATGGCAATATGTAAATCAATGGAAGTGTAACTGATGTGATTCTGCAGTCAGTATAAGGGGTAAAAATGGGAATTCATAACCCACTTGAATCACAGTGTGAAATATGATATGTCAAGAACTATGTAATGTTTTGAACAACCAACAATAAAAATTTAAAAAAAAGAATATTCTATCTGGGAAAAATGACTTCAAAAATTGAAGTCAAATTAAATACAATTTCAGTTGTACAAAAGACTTTACTACTGGTACATATATTCTTGTAGAAATATTAAAGGGAGTTTTTGAAGGAAAATGTCACTAATTGAAGCATCAGGAAGAGTAGTACGTGAGCAATGATAAAAGTACCAATGATGGTTAGGATTTAGAACATTTCTTAAGTAAAATATCTGGCAACAATACCAAAAGGAAGACAGCATAAACAGAGTTAAACTGTGATAAGAATCTTGCTTCAGTAGAGAGGTTGTAATGGTACTAAATTCATCTAGACTATAAAAAGTTAGAAACAATATTGTGATTTGTAGGATAATCTCTAAATAGTATAAGAATAAAAAACTAAAATGCTAATTGAAACTTAAATGTGATAAACTTCTTTATTTACACAAAGAAAAAGAAAGAATAATAAACAAATGAAATAACTGGAAAACAATTTATAATTATTGATTTTTAAATCAAGTAGTCATTAATCAAGTGTCTCAGTTACTACTTTAAATTTACATGCATATCCAGGTGTGGTGGCACATGCCTATAATCCCAATGGCTCAGGAGGCTGAGGCAGGAGGAGCACAAATTCAAAGCTAGCCTCAGCAACTTAGTGAGGCCCTAAGCAATTTACTGAGATTTTTTCTCACTAAAATATAAAAAGGGCTGGGGATGTTGCTCAATGTTTAAACACCCTAGGTTCAGTCCTCAGTACCCCACCCCCCAAAAACAATTTTCATGCATAATATTCAACTAAAGATTTTCATACTAAATATAAAAATATTATTGGACTATATGCTGTTCATAAGAGTCAAATTAAAAGTCTAGAGATAAACCAAAAGTAAAAGAATGTAGGAAAAACCCCAAATAATACATTTAAAAAGACTAGTGAGACAATAATGATATATCAGCAAAAGTAAAATTTATCATAAGGAGCATTATGAAAGACAAATGGAACATATTAAAGCAAGACACTTTTTAAAATGATAAACAGGTTAGTTCATCAGGAAGACATAAAAAGTCTAAATTTATATTACTATCAGTTTTATATTATTTATAGAAAAAAAATGGACACTTCTTTCAGAAAGATGATCTTAACAACAAACTTAACCAATATTACTTTATCAATATAAAGACAGCACTTCAATATCAAGTCAGCATACACTTGTCACTTTCCCTATTACATATTAAATATTATTTTCATGATAAAAGCAAAATTAAACTAGAAATTGATAACCAGATGAATAGTTATAAAAATAATTTTAAAGTTCCAAATAATTTCAAACAATACATTTTTAAATTAGCCTATGAGTCAAAGAAAGCAAAAATGAAAATTGGAAAATATTTTAACTACATAGAAATATATATGACTTTAAAAATTTGTGAAACGCATGTAAGTGTGAGCAGTGTTTCAACAATATTTACACATTTAATTAAGAATGAAAACAATGTAAGTGTTGGTGAGGATATGGGGGGAAAAGGCACATTCATATGTTGCTTGTGGGACTACAAATTGGTGTAGGCAATTTGGAAAGCAGTGTGGAGAATCCTTGGAAAACTGGGAATGGAACCACCATTTGACTCAGATATCCCATTCCTGGGTATATACCCAAATGACTTAAAACAGCAATATTACAGGAACACAGTCACATCAATGTTTATAGCAGCACAATTTACAATAGCTGTGGAACCAACCTATATGCCCTTCTGTAGATGAATGAATAAAGAAAATGTGTATATATACACAATGGAATATTATTCAGCATTAAAAGAGAATACAATCATGGCATTTGCAGGTAAATGGATGGAGCTGGAGAATATAATGCTAAGTGAAATTAGCCAATCCCCCCCAAAAATATGCCAAATAATTTCTCTGATTTAAGGATGCTGATTCATAATATGCTGGGGGCATGGGGGATGGGAGGACTAATGAACTCTAGATAAGGCAAAGGGGGAAAGGGGAGGAAAGAAAAGGGAAGGGAGGGGGCATAGGGGTAGGAAAGATGGTAGAATGAGATGGTCATCATTACTCTAAGTACATGTATGAAGACATGAAGGATATGACTCTATTTTGTGTACAACCAGAGATATGAAATATTATGCTCTATATGTGTAATATGAATTGTTGTGCATTCTGTTGTCATATATAACAAATTCAAATTTTAAAAAATTTAAAAAGTATTTAGCCTGAAAAAAGAATATTTACACATTTAAATGAATGTATTAAACAAGAAGACATTAAAATAAGAAGCTAGAAAACTAAAAACAAATTAATACCAATGAAAATAGGAAAAATATTAAATGCAAAAATCAATAAAATGAAAGCAATTATGAAAAAGAAAAACTCAATACAGAAGAAGGTTTGTTTTTTGAAAATAATTTAAAATTAATAAGTCCCTAACAAAACTGAGCATGAAAAAGGAGAAAGAAGATAACACCAATATTAACAATGAATAAAAGAAAAAAGTTAGAAATATGAATGACATTAAAAAGTATATAGAAGAGGGGTTGTGTTGTGGTTCAGTGGTAGTACGCTCACCTCGCATGCATGAGGCACTAGGTTTGATCCTCAGCACCACATAAAAATAAGATAAAGGTATTTGTGCTCCTACAAGTAATATATATATTTATATATATAAAGTATATAGAAAAAAATAAAAACAACATTACACCAACAACTGGAAACTTACATGAAATAGACTAATTCTTTAAAAACACAACTTGACACAAAATTGATACAAAAGGAAACAAAATATATGAGTACAAAAAAAAAAAAACGTATGAGCTGAACATGTATTCAGCAAACTGAATCTGAACCAATAACTTCCCTAGGGGGAAAAAAAAGTCCCCAAACCAAATTATTTCATCGATAAACTTTTTCAAAAATTTAGGTTATGTATAATACCAGTTTTATAATAAATAATTTGAAAACTAGAGAAAGTCGGAAGAATTCCAAACTGATTTTGTAGTTTGGCCTAAGTCTGACACCAAACCTGACAAAGATTTTATATGCACACAAAGCAAAAAGTACAGAACAATTCTCATAAACATAGAAGCAGAATTCTTAAGTAAAACTTAGCACATTGCAGTCTTTATATAAATAGACTATATACCATGACCAACCAAATTTTATCATATAATTAAAATATTTGCTTAATATTTTAAAACATCAATATAATTTACCTCATTAAATAATAAAGAATGACCTTTCTAGTAGATGCGGAAAAGCATTGATCAACTTAAACATCTATTCAAGATAAAATTCTCATCAAATGAGTAACTACTAAAACATAAAATAAATACCATGATTATTAAATGCAAAATATTGAATATTTCCCCCTTAATTCAGGAACAAAGATAAATATTCCCATTATTAGCACTTATGCTCAAAATTGTATTCAAATTCTCAGCAGGTGGAATAAGGCAGAAAGAAAACAAACAATATAAATATCTCAAAATTGTTCTTAGTGAGGATGTTAGAACAAATTGATACCACTGCTCTTTAATACTCTACATAAAAATTAATTTTAGGCCTAAAATGGAAAGATAAAACAAGGAAGTTTAAAACAATAATAACAAAAAACATTGCAGATTTTCTTCATGACCTTGAGGTATTTACACATTTCTTAAACAGTAACCAGTGATTAGTCAAAAGAAAGGACTAGTAAATTATGCTGCATAAAATTAGAGGCATATATTCGCCAAAATATATACCATTTTATAATACCATTAATAGAGTATAAAGGCAAATGTGACAGATTGATTGTGTTAATGCCTCCAATATTTTGTACTTTGCCATGATACCTTTCAATCTCATTAAGGTAGAGTCTGTTGCCAACTTTGATTTTGTATTTGACTTTCTTCTTTGCTTTGACCAACAGGAGGTCATCAGATGTGATAGACAGCTAGAGAAGCTTAAAAAGGCTCAGTCTTTAAAAAGTTTCAGGTTTTGATCTTCTGTAGTGATCATGAGACGATGGTTCTCAGGCAGCCTGCTGGTAGTAGAATCATGTGAAGACAGAGCTAAGCTGCTGCAGTTCAACCAGAAATGATCATCAGTCAATAGGTAACTATCCCAAACATGTGATTTAGTCAAGCCAGAAACAGCAGAGTTTCCTTGTTTACTCACAGATAACTATAAATGCATGGGAGAGTCCAGCTGAAGTCATCTGAAACTTTAACTCTTCAGCTAATGATGCTATGGCCTTGATTTTTGCTATTGACAATCAGCATTCATGGCAATAGATAATTGATATAGCAAAAAACATAATGCAAGAAAATATTTGCAATAATTAAGAATATACAAAGAGGTCATATTCAAAGTATAAAAAGAACTCCTAAACAAAAAATAGGGAGAAAATACAGACAAACCAATAATATAGAACATTCAGTTCACAGAAGAGATATTCAAATGGCCAATTAACATGTGAAAATAGGTCAACGTCATCGCTCACCAAGGATATAAAAATTAAAACCAAAATGAGATACTACTATTCGGCCACTAGAATTGCAAAAGTTAAGATTAATAATACTGAATGTTTTTAAGAATGTGGATCAATCAAGACTCTTATTCTTTTTTTGTTGGGTTATAAATTGGAAAACCCACTTCAAAAAACTCTCTAGGATCTCCTAATGCTAATGCAAACGTGTATCTACCCAATGATCTCATAATCTACTTCCAGGTATATATTCTACTGAAAAAAAATTGTACTTTTAACCAGAAAACAAGCATTATAATATTTGGGAAATAACCTCAAAATTTAATTAATGGTAAAACTGGCAAAAAAAAAATGCTGAACAACAATGAAAATGAATAAACTTTGTGTTCAATAATGAAAACAAAACACTGAGCTGAAGGAGTCAGTCTCAAAAAATAAATACACTGCATGATTCCATTTACATGAAGCTTAAGAATAAGCATAACTTGTTCTTAGTAATAGAAGTGAAATCACTATTTAACTTTGGAGGAGAAGGATATTAACCAAAAATGGTACAAGAGTACCCCTGGGTTCAGTAAAGGGTTTATGTCTGAATCTGGGTAATAGTTATATAGGTGAGCATATGTGTGAAAATTTATCAAGATGCATACATACTTAAAATATAGACAATAAACTATATGAATATACATATATGTTACTAACGGATATAATTTTTTCAATCTAGCGAAAGATAAGCTTCATCAAAATGAAAGAGAAAATCCAGAAGAAGAAAATACAAGATGTGAGTGTAAGGAGTCCAAACGCAGAAGAGAGGTTAATGAATCTCCAGACTGCACTATGACAGTTGTACTCTAACAGAGGCAGCAAACCCAGACCAGCGCTGTATGACCCAACAGATAAAGACACTGAGAACATGCGTCACAGAAATCTCTCCTGCCACTCTTCTATTTTCTTATACTTGGTAATAGTGGTGGTGTGAAGCTTGTTTTGATATGGGTTGATGAAAATTTTGCTCTCCCTTTTCTACCCTGTTGCCAGATCAGTTGAATATCCTTTTTAACCCCACAACACTGCCCTGCTCTGACCTTCTCCTGAAAACTGAAGTAGGCCTGTCTGAACTTAGAAAAAACAAATAGATTCATATCCCTTCCAGTGGTTCATATTCCTGACAGGTGTTCAGTAATCAGGCCAGAAATAGCTTCTTCTACAATGAGAAAAATAATCTCTAGCATTATAAAATCACAATTTATTATGTGTAATAAAACTCAATCCCAACTTATGTAATTTTAATACAAATCAATAACAACTTTCCAAAAATAAAGATTCAGCAAATACCATCTTTAAATACACTATGATTTGTAAGTAAAAGTGAATAAGAAATATTAAAAAAATAAATTATGTAGACTTCTTTCTTTGTACTCATCTGTTTTCTGTGAACTAGAGTAGAATTTTAAACACGTAGAGAATTTCTTCACAGTACTTACAAAATTAGACCATCTTGAACTCTACCTAAAAAAACACATAACAACCAAACAATACCATTCAAATAGTAAAAGGAAATTAAGTTATCTGTGTAGAAAAATATTAACAAAATTTTCTTAAATGGAAATTAAAAACACACCACAGAACATGATAATATGTGTGTATACTATATTTATAAACATTATTTTAAAAATATCTGGGAGAATACCAATCAATGAGTTCAGAGTACCTACTTACTCCTTATTAAGTGAGTTGAGGAAAGGAATAAGAATGTTTTTCTTAGCTGCATTTTTAATAACAAACATAACTAAGTAAAAATATCAAAAATGAATGGTACCAAGATATGACCATTTAGCTATGGGGTGCCAAATGTACAGGTATATACAAATATTTGGTTTATCCATTTATTTTTTCCATATGGTTTCCTTATGGTTAAGACTCGTAGATACATTCTCAGTTAATATTAATTAGTGTTAAAATATGTAGCATCCCCTTTCAATATGGAGTCATGTAGATGAGTTTTTCCCAAAAAATCATATTATTTCTCCCTAAAATAATTAGCTGAGTATTTTTCAGGTAGAAATTTAATAATAAAAAAAAGCTCAAAGTAATCAAGTAGGAAAAGCACAAGCTTGGAACATCCTATATTGGATTGTTGTGATGATGAAATGAAGCATCAAGTCAAAATATCTTCCTGTGTCCAGCCCAACATTTATATGACATATAGCATTTCCCTCAACTTCCTTGATAAGCAATATTTTAATCCAAATAGCAATTAGGACAAAATCTCTTTTTTCTATTTTTTGTAATTTAGAATTTTGAAGGTCCATATATCATGGTGGTAGAGAGGTATAACCAAATGCTGAGAAGATTTTTTAAGTCTTTTTAGAATTAAAAAATAAGAATATGCATCGATCCTTTCCATGAATTCCTCCAAGACAGAGGTATGTCAAGGAAAAGATGCAAATCTGGCCTTTGAATTGAGAGCATCCCATCAATGTTACAGAAAATGTATGGCTCTCACCGGAGTCAGCAAGGTGGGATTGAATCAAAACCCAGTGCCAGGCAATTAAGCTTTCATGTATTCATGTAATGAAACTATGCCCTACGTAAGATAAACTCACAGCATTATATGGTAAACAGTTATGTGTGAGAGTTATACAACTTTTCTTTTGTTTCACCTGTTGGGACTTGGGTTCCTACCTTTTGACAGGCAGGAGAGGACCCGCAATTGTTGGCAGCCTCTCCCTTCCAGCAATAGCCATTCAGGCTACTTTGCCTAAGAGACATGAGACCCCTGATCTTTCCTCTTTTGAGAGGAGGAGAGCCCTTATCTTTCTTCTTCACTAGGATTTATTAAGGAGAGGAGGTTTGCAACCTCATGAAGCCCATCACTGTCTATAATAAGTCTTCTCCAAGGGAGAAACCACTGGCTTCACTCTCCCCACAACCAGAAAAATTTTTGATCAGCCAAATTAACTTTTATTTCAACTACTCTCTCCAGAAGGTAACTCTACATTAAGTTAGACTTTTAAAAAGCAAAGTCCCTGAAAACATGTTGGAGTCTCTGATGTGCCTTCATGAATCTCAGAAATTTTTCTTCTTTAAGAGCCAATGGGAAAACTCTACATCAGGGGAAGCAATAGAACACAGAAAGAAAAGAAAAAAAAATTTTATCTCTTATGCTATACCAAAACAAGCTCGAACTGACCTCTTCATTTCTTGAATGTGAAATAGAAATACACTTTTTTCTTATTTAAGGTACAGTGATTAATTGGATTTTTTCTATTACTCATATTCAATGCTAATACAAACATATTTTGCATTTCATATACAAGTTTAAACTTCCATGTGATTAAATATGAATATTTTATTGGCAATATACAATATTTTTCATAAGCAGAGGAATTCTACAATGTCAGCTAAACTGTAAATACATCAAGGGAGCATTTTTATAAGAAATCAAAAGGAAGTTTCTAGGTAAAGCTGGATTTAAGAAGGTTAAATATAAATTCATAATATTTTCTTATTACTACAATAACTGAAGTAAAATTCCAATCTATTTACAATTTCAAGGGATTGATCAAAAAATTAGCGCACAAACATTGAGTGAAGACAAGTGAAAATGGAGAAACTCCTTCAGAAGATTTTACATGGATTTTATCTATCTCCTTGATAAAGACAAACCTAATTTATGTTTTACATATATGCATTAAAAATTATGATTAAAATTTTTAAAGAAAAGGCATGACTGAAATTATATATTTACATATATATATATATATATATCATCTAGCAAGATATTTAATACATACTGCCTTTTATACTCAAATTATGAGGTCATAAAAGAAAAAAATCTATATGTTAAGTTGTTAACTTAGTACACATGTATGCTTAGAATCCCTGAAACCAACTATTTCTATACCCAGATTATTAGGTACTGTAAAAACACACACACAAAAGCACTTCACTGAAACATATATTATTCCAAAGTTAAATCTATATACATAATGGAATTGTTTCTGGTGTATATTTATCCCAATTCTATTCATTCCAGTTTCACTGCATCATGGGAGGAGAACAGCTGGTTACTATCTTCTTTATGAGGTTTAATTTTATCACTACATGTAATATATTTTATACATGTGAATATATATATTTAGAGTATTTGTTAAAGATGTACTTTTGCAGGCTGGGGATGTGGCTCAAGCGGTAGCGCGCTCGCCTGGCATGCATGCAGCCAGGGTTCGATCCTCAGCACCACATACAAAGATGTTGTGTTCCCCGAAAACTAAAAAATAAATATTAAAAATTCTCTCTCTCTCTCACTCTCTCTTAAAAAAAGATGTACTTTTGCTTCCCTAAAAATAAATTCTTCAAATATTACACTGACATATGAGTTTTAAAGGCAAACAATAGAGAAAATTATACTTAAGAGAAAATGTAATAAAATAACATAATTATTTCATAGAAGCAAACTTACAGCAAGGTAAAGAAAAAAAATCCCATGTTATAAATCAACTTGCATAAACCCAATATCTGACTCTGGCACTGACATACATTTACAACAGGAGAAACAGAATTATAAAATGAGTATAATGGACATTCGCTACCTGCCTCTACCTTACAAAGAAAAAATGTTCTGAAAGCTCATCTGAAAGCTGATTACTCAAAACTCAGAGCACACTTTTGTTGTTTTTTCCCTCACATTTTATTACATTTCAAGCTTTCTACAAAGTTGAATGAATTTCAACATTAAATAAACATATCCCACCTGCCAAACATTGTGTCAATAGCATCTTATTATATAATAGCTATATTTTACATCACAATATAATTACATACATTTTCCTTCTAATAGCAGGATGCTATTCTAGATCACATAAATTAGATAAGCTTTCAGAGTAGCACTGATTTACATTAAGTTGTTTTCCCTAAGATCCAATTAAGTACTGGTATTGGGTTTTATAAGTAAAGACTGAGAAAACAAAGCAAGTAGAAGAACTACATTTGGTTTTTGTTGTTGTTTGCTTTTGTAGCTCTGGGTGGGGATTGAACCCAGGGTCTCATGAATGCTAGGCATGCATTCTATTACTGAGCTACATGCCCAACACTGCAAACAGAAGAAATAAACCACTCAACACCATCACCAAACACACTAAAATACAAACACACTTTTTAAAAGTGCTGGCCATGAAAGTCAGGGCTTTGAGCAGGCTAAGTAAATGCTGTACCACTGAGATACACCCTCAGTTCCAATACAATTTTAAATGCAATTTTATTTTATCTTACATAGATTTCATGGATTTTTATATAATGTAATGACACTATATCTTAAAATTTTCATAAAATTATATATTTTTATCATTTAAATAAGTAATTAACAGATATCTTTATAGCATATATGAATTCATGTACCAAAAATTTACTTAAACATCATTCATTCACTTCTAATGTAACATTTAGGGAATTTTCATTTCTTGCTATCATAAAAATGTTGCAATTTATTATTCTATATGTTAATTTTTCTCCCTTATTCATTTTCCCTTAAATTCTCAGAAATAAAATTATTGTGTCAATGGGAGAAAATTTTATTTACTCAATTCTTAGTGTATATTAATAAACACTACAATTTTATCTATCAATAAACATCCACTTTGGATATTAAAGGATAGGAAGAAAAAATGACAACTTCCCTTCAATTTAAGAACTGGCTCTTTCTCATTTTAACAAGTTTTTACTTTTTAATATTTCTTTATTTTGGGAGAGCTACTAATCCAAAAACAGTGTGTTTTTGAGATGCACAGTGAAAGTAAAATTATGGAGTAAGTACATCGTGCTACATATAGATAGAGTGAAGGATAGGAGATGACCATTATCTACACTAAATCCACATGTCACAAGAGATATCTTAAGCTAAATAATATTTAATTCTAATGCTGTAA